AGAGGGCATATGCAAATTGAAAAGAGAGGCGCAGGCATGGGTGGGAGGGTGGAGGGGTCAGAATATAAAAGGGGGCAAGGGAAGGGAAAGGAACCAGAAGGAAGGTAAAAAGTGGTGTGTTCAGGAAAATAAGTTCATGCTGTAAGAACTCAGAGAACAGAATTGAGAAAAAGAAAAACTAACAACTGACACATGTGGAGAATATATATTCACTCCTGTGATTTTCTTTTTTTTTAAATTAAATTTAATTTTTTTTTAAAGGAGAACTCTTTGTTTGTTTGTTTGTTTGTTTATTTATTTATTTATTTATACAAGCACTGGGTACAGTCAGAAGCACAGGAGGGTGAGAATTCACCAGAGCCAGAGCGGGGAGCTGAGCAGGCAGAAGGACCGAAGTACACTGCTGAGGGAGCAGCGGGCTGCAGGAGAGGTCTGCGCGCCATGTGGGACCCGCCTCCGGTGGCCGGGGAGCAGCCGGGGATCGAACTGGCGCTGCAGAGGCTGCGGGCAGCTTCACAACCCAGCGCTCAACCGCTGCACCACCGGGGAGGCCCAATTTAATTTTATTTTTAAGATTTATTTATTTATTTATTTATTTATACAAGAACCAGGGTACAGATTTGCAGGAGGGTGAGAGGATTCACTAGAGACAGAGTGGGGAGCGGAACAGGCAGATTGACTGAAACAAACTGCTGAGGGGAGCAGTGGGCGAGACAGGAGAGATCTGCTGTGCCATGTGGGTAGCTCCCTGGCTGGCGGGGTGGGGGGGGGATCGAACTTGTGCTGCCGAGGTTGCAGATAGCTTCCCAGTGCTGTGCTTATCCCCTTGCACCACCAGGGAGGCCCAACTTTTTAAAGACGGAAAGGAGTACAGAAGTGCCCACGGAACAAGTCCTTGTTGAGGGACTAGTAGCTACAAAAGTAAGAGAGAGGATGACGTAACATCCTACTCAGAATGACTAGAGGAGGGAATGTGTTAGGTGGTGGTCAGAGGAGAGGAGGTGGTGAGACAAAGCCATATCTTTACAAAGGAGTTCTCACATAAAAGTTGAATGGTTCACTCTAGTGAAGAATGGAGAAAGAATTAGAAGTCAAAATAAGACACAAGACAGGGGAGAAATGAAATGGCCTTGCTCAAACTGGAATAGAAGAGAAGGGAACAAATTCAAGCAATAACTACAAGGCAGAATGATCAGGACCTGGTGGTTGAATGAACAAGGGAGAAAAAAGAAGCAATAATGACATCATGTTTGGGACAGAGGCACTGTTTGATGGTGGAGTTGGTCACCGACATAGGGGATACAGGAGGAGGAGAGAGGTTTGGGGAGAGGTGCACATGGTGAGTGTGAGGTGCCTGCAGGATATATCCAGGTGGAGGCCTACAGGAAACAGCTCCTGTTTCCTAACAGGGTTCCTAAATAATCACCTAACACAGCCATTCTCGGTCATCGCAATCTATTAGGATCACAGGGAGCTTAAAAGCTCAACAGCCCAACTAACCCTAAGCCAATAAAATCAGAATCTATAAGGTGGGATCTAGTCCTGGGTAATTTTTGAAGCTCCCAGGTGATTCTGCTGATCTAATTGACCAAAGGGTCTTCATTGAAGAGCTAAAGACTCTAAAAACTCTCAATCCTAAACTTCCTTGGGAAGTCATATTCTGTTTTCTTGGTTTCTACATCTGTAAAATGGGAGTAATGATCTTAGGTGTTTCACAAGAGCATTGTGAGAAATAATTACTGTTTGGAAAAGCTTTGAGAGTCATGGATGAAAGGCGACACACAGGGCTCCTCCAAGCATTGTTTTTACAAGTTTCACCTGCTCCTCCTTGTGATTTTATTTATGCTCATGTTACCTGGTTCCATACTGGGAACTCAGGGAGAGGGTTGGGATGACTTGAATGGGAGGTCAGGGTGATGTAGTGAGGAGCTGTGCCATAGAGGCAGACCATTTATGTGATGACTCTGATCATTTTCCATGTAGGTGTCACTCCCAGTGCCCCATGGAAATAAATATGAGAAGGCCATATGATTACTTTTGGAAGGAATTCTTTTTGAAAGGTTTGGTATTCTTTAAAAAAAAAAAACAAAAAACAAAAAACATGTGCTTGGAAAGAGTTCTCCCAATCAAACCCATGTGTTGTGTGGTAAAAACACCTTCAACACTCCACATGAAGTATATACAAAGTAAGTGGTTTCTCTCTCTGGTTACCCATGGCCCATTGCTCACTGCAGGGTAAGGAAAAAGTATCAGGCTTTTCTGCCCTCCCGCCATTAGGATAGATGACGGAACCCTGTGGTCCTGAATTCATGCCTGATGGTGGGCACCTGGAGTGGGTACAACTGGGCTGAGAGACTGAGTTTATAAGGGCAGCATCTCGGGGACGCCAGCAGCAGGTGAAAGAAGAGAAACAGAGAGAACGCCAGAGAGCCCAGATAGAATGAGGATTTGCTGGGGGCTGGGAGGACTGCCAGCCTCCCAGCTCCCCAGCGCCCCTGCCTGCCATATGCCTGGTAAATCTAAATAAAAGACCTGCAAAAGCCATAGAGGACTCTGACTCCTCCTTTACCTGGTCTGCTGGATCAGAAAACCTGCTCAGTGTCATTCCTGCCCCTACACTCACCATTAGGGAATGTTCACAGAATCCCTCTAATGACCTAATGGTACAGAGTTTCTGAAAATATTGTCAAGACCTCAAGTCACACCACCACTCTCTCTGGCTTCTAGAAAATTCTGAGCTCTGCCAACATGCATTGCAAAATAAGATAAAAAGAAAGCATTGCTTAATAGCTTCCTTATATTTTGTGTGTGTGTGCTAATTATGTGTATGTAGATGTTAGACCCAAAATGTGGAATCACGCAGCAACGTGGATGGAGCTAGAAGGAATTATGCTCAGTGAAATAAGCCAGAAAGAAAAAGAAAAAATCGGATGGTTTCACTTATAACAGGAATATAGGGGAACTAAATGAGACATCAGTATAAAAAATAGTAATAACAGTACAAAACACAACAAAGCAAAAACAGACAATTGTAAGCCAGAGACATACTGCAGGGGAGGAGGTGGGAGAGGGATCAGAGGGAGGGAGGGAGGAGCACAGGGGACTGTGATGATGGTGCACGGGTGCCTTGGGGAAGGAGAGTCTATGGGGACTCAACCTGAGGGGGTGAGGGGAAGCAAATATTATCTAAAAAAATTTAAAAAACGATAAATGTTAATATAAAAAGAAGATACCAATACAGATGGAAGAAATGAATATATGGCAAAAAATTAATAATAATACCAAAGAAAAAAGTGGTATCAACTGGGTCGGCATCATGAATGGCCACTATTCTTTAGGTTGTAGAGTGAAAATAAGATCCTAAATCTATCTGATCATGATCGAAGAGAATAAAAACAGAATAAAAACCATCAGGGCCCAGAACACAATTCCTCAAATAGCTATCAGTCAATGCTCAGAAAATCAAGGACTGTCTGCCCACAACTTGGAGATACGTGGTCCAGCTGGCTTTTAAACTGAATGTGTGTTAAAATTAAAAATATTTATCTGCAGGATGGATACTTGTGTCCAAAAAATGAAAAATTGCTTTGTTTGCCCATAGACCTCTGCAGGAGCCTTGAAAATACACTTCCCACCTTGCAACAGCTAATAACTGAAACAAAACAAAACAGAGCAGAAGTTTGCCCAAACATCCATTTTGCAGAGTCATTGGAGCTAGAAGAAATGTCCAAGTTATTTTGAGTTTGGGCATCCTCCTTTTACAAATGAAGAAACTGAGGCCCAGAGAAAGGCTGTACCTTGTCTAAGCACAAGGCTTTCTAGTTTTCTTGGACCTCAAATTGTTCTCCATTCCTTAGAAATTTCTAGAAGTCAGTTTCTCCAGGAAGAGCATTTGACAAGTTATTTCAACCCTAATGCTCTAATTTTGAATGAAGGGTACATTTTGCATTAATTTCCATATATTTTTCTTTATGGTAAATAAAATGACACTGAGCAATTCCATAGCACCCTTTATTCCTTCTCTACTCATCACCAGCAACAACTGGATGTTGTAAAGGAATGGGAGGAGTTTTAGTCTATGGGCCTTCAGCTAGGACAGACTCAAAATAACCTTAATCAAATGAACACATTTTTTCCTTTTTAAAATGGGCAATAAACAAGTTTTTCAAAGTTAAAACCATGCACTGATGAAATTGTTATTCTTCCCTCTGGAAAGTCTTCCACTATCTGTGCTGGTTTTTATTTACCAAAAGGATGTCATTAACCTCCCTTCCAGGCCACAGAACATGAACTCTGAGACTCATTCCAGTGGTTGGCTGAAACCATTCTGCAAGAAGAAATTTATTTCCCTTGTGAATTTTCAAGATGAAGAAGACTATCAGCTTTAGCTGTGCTTTCAGGCACAGACACAACTATGATTTTGGTTCTCTATTTGTGATGCTAGACTGAATTTTCTACCTCGTCCAGTTTCCCATTAGCTGAAGAAACCAGCTGTCATCAGATCCCAGGACTGAGGAGCTTATTTAGACCAGGCCTCAGGCAGAAAGACATCTTTTCCCCTTTCCAAAAAGTTCTCCCAAGGCCAAGCCTGTAAAACCACTCTTAGAAATGTATTCTTGTGGGCCTCCGTGGTGGCGCAAGCGGTTAAGTTCTGCACTATGAAGCAATCCACAGCCTCTGCAGCATGAGTTTGATCCTCGGCCCACCAGGGAGAAACCCACATGGCTCAGCAGACCTCTCCTATCTTGCCCGCTGCTCCCCTCAGCAATGTATCTGTCTGTTCTGTTCCCCATTCTGTCTCTGGTGAATCCTCTCACCCCCTGCATCTCTGGCCTGTACCCCAGCTCTTGTATGCATAAATAAATAAATCTTAAAAAAAAAAAAGAAATGTATTCTTGTAACTCTGGTTTTTCTGTCCTTCAGGAAGGAATTTAAAGAAATTATGTTTGCCCTAAGTTGGAATGAATCAAGAAAGTCCTCCCAAAGAGTTTGCAACTTACTTTGATATGGGGGTGTTTTGCACATGCTGTCCCCCACACACGGGAGCAACGCTCTTCTTTTCTATGCTCATAGAATTCTGGCTCTTGTAAGATAGCCACCTTCCGCCCACCGTGAGTCAGGACAAACTTGCTGCACCCTTCCAGCCGTGTCTTGTCATCCGCAGAGACAGGGAGAACGATGGGAACGCTCAAGTTGATCACTCCATCTGTAGAAAGAGCCAGAAGATGCGTGAATATAGGCACAAGGTGCACAGCCCTGAAAGGATGCCTCGATGTACACACTGTCCCTCCCACATATATCCTGCAAAGGACATTAAGATCTAAATTCAACTTGGTTGTATTGGCTGCACAATTTCTTGAGAATCTATAATGAGATTTCCTGAAAAAGCCTCTCAACGCAAGATACGGGGCATTTGTGAAAGGATGGCCAAGTTTCAAATTGAGGAAGTGGCATCAATTATTTATTTGATATAGGGGACCGGGAGAATCTCCCTTTTGTGTCCCCTTTGTGAAGTTTGGTCTTGGCCTCAATGCACCAGAGACCCTAAGGTCCGTAAAAACCAAGTTAAACAAAATAAAGGTTGGCAAACACACAAAACCAAAAACCTTTCTTGGAAATGAAACTTGTAATGTTGGCAAACCTCTTATGGCCTGTTTAGGCACTAATTGTACTACCAACACACTGACGGAAAAAGACCAAAAAAAAGGACAATTTCTTGACATTTTTTGTCCACTGTGGTCCAGGCACAGTATCACCTTTAAATATTTTGAAAGTCACAGGTCTTACCAGCTCAACTAGCATTGAGAACTATCAATCAAAAACCATGGAGGAGTGAAAAACGACATAAAGTTTATTTACAAAGCTCATGTGCTGTCTTTGGAGAGTAAGCACCTCTCAACTTTGTACCAAGTCTCTTACTTTAAAAGAAACGAAAATACACTGTTCTGGTTTCTCGGTATAAGCACAAAACATTGGAAGGTATGGAATGTGGTATTCAGAGAATTTCCATTTTCACCTTCAAGAAATGTGAAATGACAGCTTGACTACAAAGGAAGAGGTAAGAATGCTACTTAAAAACTGACATAGAAACTTCCATGGTTAATTTTATGTGTCAACTTGGCTAGATTGCAGTACCCAGATAATGGGCCAATATCATTTGAGGTGTTTCTCTGAAGATATATTTTATTTATTTTTATATATATATTTATTTATTTGATATATTTTAGATGAGACAAACATTTAAATTAGTGGGCTCCATAATGTGGTGGGCCTCACCCAATCCGTTAAAGGCCTTAACAGAAAAAGTCTGATCTACCAGGATTAAAAGGGAATTCTGCCAGTAGATTTTGAACTCTAACTTTTCCCTGGGTGTCCAGCCTGCCAGCCTACTTGTAGATTTCGTAATTGCCAAGCATCCACAATTGCATGAGCCAACTCCTTAAAATCAACTCCTCAAAATCTCTCTCTCTATCTCTCTCTTCCTTAAACCTTCCTTCCATCCCACCCACCAGCAACTCAGTTTTGTCTCTCTGGAGAACCCTGAATAACAGTTAATACAGAAACTGGTATTGAATCACGGGGTCTTTTAGTGTGAGGGCCCACAATCCCATAAGTCTCCCAGCTCATAGGGCACCATTACATTGGAATTCATCTTAATAACTCTCATAACTGATGATGATGGAGTCATTTCTTAAAGTTTCTTTATGCTTAACATATTCTTTTTTTTTTCCTTATGTGAATAAGAAGTTGTTTTGGTTTATTTAGAAGGACATTTAAAAATATTTTCTAATTAAAATGGTTAAAAGCTGTAGTTGTTATTTATGTGAGGCTTAAAAGGATAAAATTGAGCTCCCTGGAAACATCTAATTTCTTTTTTTATTTTTTTATAAAGATTTATTTATTTATGCATATAAGAACTGGGCTACAGGCCAGAGATGTGGGTGGCGGGGCGGTGGGGGGGGGAGAGGGTGAGAGGATTCACCAGAGACAGAGTGGAAAACAGAACAGGCGGATTGACTGAAATACACTACTGAGGGGAGCAGCAGGCGAGTCAGGAGAGGTCTGCTGCATAATGTGGGTTGCTCCCTGGCTGGCTGGGGGATTGAACTAGTGCTGCAGTGGCTGCGGCTAGCTTCATAGGTTGCGTCTTAACCCCTTGTGCCACCAGGGAGGCCCTAATTTCTTTTTTTTTAAAGATTTATTTTAATTTATTTATGCATACAAGAACTGGGGTGTAGGCCAGAGGTGTGGAGAGTGAGAAGATTCACCAGGGACAGAGTGGGGAGCAGAATAGGTGGATCTATTGAAATACAATGCTGAGGGGAGCAGCGGGCAAAACAGGACAGGTCTGCTGCACCATGTGGGTTAGCTCCCTGGCATGGGGGAGGTGGGGATTGAATTCATGCCTCAGTGGCTGGTGATAGCTTCATAGTGCTAAGACTTTAACCTCTGCACCACCAGGGAGGTCCCCGGAAATAGCTCATTTCTTAATGAAGGAAGAAAATTTTTTTAAATATTACATAACTGTGTGCCCCCCCCCCCTTATGCAATAGCCCTGACATGCTAACAACTAAGTCAATTGAACTGACAGGTGAGATAATGGTGGCCCATGGTTAAGTGTGTAAAGAATATTGGGAATTTGGCAGGAGATACCAAGTTTAAGACTTAGAAGGGGATGAAAGAAAAGGGAATAAAGAAAACATTCAACTCCAGAGGAAACAAATGGAGTAATTTATGGATTTGAGGAACTTTCAAAATCCAGCATTAGAATGCCTCCAGTAGGTAAATATTTGAGATTTTAGTTCTATTCCTTTGAGACATAAGAATTCCCTTTGTAGCTATGAAGCCAGTCTCCAGCCTATGGCTTTGCCCATTTTAAGTATTCTCCAAAGTTATTAGGACCTTAATACTATTACAGGATATAGACAGCAACTGTTGGCAATAAGGAAATACTGTTCATCATAGAATTCTACCTACAATCTGCTCTGGGACCCTTTATAAACCGTACATAGAACACCGTGCATAGAAAGTATGGATTTTGTCATTCAAATAACTCCTTTGTTGCAAAGTTCATGGGTTAGTAAGAGTAGTCCAAGCCCTGGACTGCAGAGAATACTGAACTCAAAATCTGATGTTCTCCTGTGTTCAGTTTGCCCACTTGAAAAATGGAGTAATATACAACATATATGTCCCTGGGGTGCTAGGAGGGAGCAGACTGCCAAGCACTCTATCAACAGATTCATGATGAAAGATAATTAACCCACCACATAGTCTACTTGAGAAAAAGGAAAGAGAGAGTAACAAAAATGAACACCTTCCAGGATGCTGGTCATCTATTTAAATAGAAATCATGTTTTCTGGGAATTTTGATTACCAGTGACACAGCTAAAAGACCATGATATTTAACTCTGCTTATAAAAAGGGACTTGACCAAAATAAAGGAACAAAATGTAAAGCACAGTTTGGATGGGATGCTACAGAAAGGCTAGCTTTGACTGCACCAGGCTTGCAGTGCTGTCTTACACTGATTTTTCTGTGTTGAACCCAAGGAATACTTCACTTTCCTGTTGCAATCACCTCCTTCGAGCCAGTCGGTTCCTGGCCAAAGTAGCCTCTGCTCCACCTTCATCTTGGCCTAGAGTGAAAATCTGGAGTGCGGAAACAGGCCTTCCTAGCAGGTAGGAGATAAGAGATCTCCTGTCCACTAATGATGCCCACTGAGCTCCTGTAGCTACACATGCCACACGGTACAGCAGACTTAAGGCAGTTTCCCTATTTCTATCAACTTTTCTAATACCTAACCTTATCCAACAAATTAACTCTGTGTTGACACATCCTCCAAGGCTTTAAACATGGACTTGGGCTTTCAGTTTTTGTCAGGAAGGGCTTCAGCCTCCCGGGGAATCATCTTGATTATTCTATTGCAGTACATTTCACTTTGGAAAAGAGAATTATGTTTTTTAGCCACGGCTAGTTCGACACATAACTCCGTTCTATTGCATAACTATTTTTGCTTTGAGTAATTTTCAAACCTCTTGTTTTATTTAATATTGTACATCTTCACATCAGATGCCTGAACTGTTTCTTCATAAAAACTAAATTACTTTTTATTGCTTAACTAGGCTTTTTTTTTAAAGGAAAGCAATACCAAAACAATGTATTTTCAGAATTTTACCTTTTCACTCTGGTATGATGCAGAAGTTTATAGGCACAATAAGTATGTTTATTATGCGTTCTACAACTATCAATCATCATAGCTGGAAATTAAATTCATGCATAATCACATGTCTCAAACAAAGTACAATCATCCACAATCCAACCAGATGCATTCACTTTAAACTGCATCTAAAATTCTTATCCTTCAGCAATTAAAAATGTTGCATAAATGCAATAAAGATTTCTAGGTTTGTGAAAATAAATGAGGGCTAGTACTCAGAAATAATTAGCAAAGAAGATCACATTTTTTTAAAATATCAGGGACAAACTGTACAATGATAATTTACAAACAAGTTTAACCAAACTTTTGTTAACCAAATACAACAGTATAAACAACACCTTCATTTGACTGAGAAATTTCCTATTATTTGGACTCCATTTAATAGAAATACAGTAGCCTCCCTTCCCACCTCTTCCAGTTACCCACAGGCAACTGCTTTCCAAAAATGTTATTGTGCTATAAGATATTTTGAGAAAGAGACCATAGTCACATAACTTTTATTACAGCATATTGTTGTAATTGTTCTCGTTATTAGGTATTGTTGTTAGTCTCTTCCTTTGACTAGTTCATAAATTAAAATTTATCATACGTGTATATTCATAAGACAAAATATGGTATATATGGGTTTTGGTACTCTCTGTGGTTTCAGTCATCCACTTACAATGGATACCCCACAGGTAAGCGGGGGGACTACTGTATTATTATAACTGGTTGGATCATGAACTGATAGCAATACCAGCTAGTTCATTTGGATATTTTTTGGTTAAGTTTTTAACAGTTTCTAATTAGTGTACCATAACTAATCCCAATAATTTAATTACTTGGAAAGTTAGAGTACATACCAGGTAGGGCCATGCCTAGAGAAATACAAACACAATTAAGAAACATGTTTTCAGCTCTCCAACAAAATAATCTTAAAGCAACACAAACACATAACATATAAACACACTAAGCTCTTAGCTACCAGTATTTTTTTTTTTTTAATGGAGACTATATATGATAGCAAAAATTAAATAAGGGACCAGAAAAATGAATAACTATAAGAAAGCGAAAATCAAAATCAACAAAAAACTATGAACCAGAGACACTTTTTGGGGGGTGAGGGGCGGGAGGGGAGGGATTGGGGTCAGAATGGGGGGGTTGCAATTGTATGGGGAATATAAAAATAAAATTTATTATTTAAAAAAAAAACAATTGGTAAAAACGAAATTGTTATTGACTATTGTTCAATGCAATTGAATATTGATTATCTGATTCAAAATAATTATATGTCAGTAGTTCCTCCAACTCTGGAAAGTTATTTTGGATGGTGTAGACTGAGTACATTTTTTTAATTTAGGGGGAAATATGAACATTTAAGAAAATTAAAACCAATAAAATGTTTTGAGAGGACATGGTTGGAATAAAAAAAAAATTGCCTGCAGATTTTAGGTGATCAAAAAAATGTGCAATTGTTTGGTGGTGCATGAAAGTGGCCACATGTTTGTGACTGCAGAAATTATTTCAGGCTTTCAATGGTGGGGGTTCAAACTTTAACAAATTCATTAAATGATATCTATATGGATGATATATTAACCAGCTTTCTGATATATAAACAAATCACTTTTGGGGATTTTACTCTGCTTGCAACCCACAAGCCATCAGGCCAAGCTCTGCTATAAGACTGCCAGGTATATAGAAGGCAAGAGGTTTCTTGGCCTCTTCTAGCATCTTCAGAGCTGCTGTCCAAGCAGGAGAGAGGCAGAGCCCGGCCCCTTTTGTAGGAGTAGTTCCTGTTTTATCTATTATGTATATATTACCTCAGATTTCACTGAAATAGAGTTTTCTGACTTAAAAAAAGAAAGTGACAATAACTGATGTTGTGGGAAGAACCCATCGGACGAGGGGGCCAGAAGAGAAGCTGTATTGCCTGTTCCAGGGAGATGAGATCTGTCTTCATTACCTCTGTCTCAGCAATTATAATGAAGCCTGGCATATGGGGAACTCAATAAATATTTGTTGGCTGGCTGATGAACATCTTCTCTGTGTTCCTTCCAAACTGATGTGACCAGGGTCACATAATTTAGTTTCTTCAAGACTTCAAGTTCTTGGTGGCTACCAGAGATAGGAGGGCAGGGGATTGTAAAATGAGTGAAGGGGGTTAAAAAGTACAAACTGCCAACTATTAAAAAATTAGTAAATCATGGGAATGCAATGTACAGCATGGGAACTAGAGTCAATAATACTGTATTATATAATAGAAAGTTGCTAGGAGAGTAAATCGTAAATATTTTCATCACATGGAAATGAGTTGTAACTATGTGTGGTGATGGATGTTAATTGACTTTGTTGTGATGATCATTTCACAATATATACAAATACCACATTATTATGTGATATATCTGAAACTAATATTATGTTGTATGTCAATTACATCTAAATTAAACAGAATTTCTAAAGATTTCAAGTTCTTTTAATCATATGTAATAAGAGCTTGTTCATCTAGGAAAATTTACCACTGGGCCAAGGCTTCTTTCAATTTTTCAACATCCCAACAAGGTAGGTACAGTTATTAACATCCTCATTTTACTGATGAGGGAACTGAAGACAGAATTTAAGTGATTTGCCCCAAGTTCATAGCTCATCACTGGCATATAAACCCATACAGTTTGACTCTACAATTAATTTTCTACCCACTCTGATATTCTGCCTCTTCCTAGTTAGAGCTAGAGGTGGGCAACATGTAAATCCCTGATATCTGTTTTGATTGATTGATTTACATAGGAGTTTCTAGAAGGTGTTTCTAGAGTTTCTAGAGCTTTTAGCCTTCACTACAACTGGGGTTGCACAGGCATATCCAGGGGACTCTGGTTACAGGGTTTAAGTGGTAGGACCAGCAGAGAATCCCCAGGGGAGTCATGTAAAGTCCAAGGAACTGACCTTGCAGGTTGGAGAGGAATAGGATTATGAAACCAGCATGATATCAAACTCCCCCACCCCTGAGTAGCTACACTGGCAACTACAGCAGAATGAAAGGATGTACATGATTACAGGAGTTATTCCATTCAATCTTCTAAAGAATGTAGGACTCATGGAACCCACTAGAGAGTTCTTGACTAAGGTTGAGGGGCAGGGAACATTCTCATTCTATCTTAAGAAAGACTCCATGAATTCCACAGGTCTGCAGGTATAAGAGCTTTAGTGGCTGGAGTAAATGGGCAGGATCTGCACCTCTGTGGGTACAGAGAGTCACACAGATTGACATGGCAAGTGTGTGTGACTGTGGGTCTTATTGGGAATACAGGAAACACATCCCTTAAAAATTCCCATAAGAACTTTGGAAAGAAAATGTTTAGAACAAGAACATTTTCCCAAGGAAGAGCATCTGATTTTATTTTTCTTCCTAAAAGGTTTGGAGTCCTGTTCAGCATTATAAATTCAGTGTGATGGTACCACCTACCTTTCTCACTGAATTTTCCCTCCAGGTCTTAAAAGAGATGAATTTCACTTGCTAAATTCAGACAACTCTAAGAAAGGAATGATTCTCTTCCAGAATATGCTGGAAGGTTTATGGAAACATATGCTTTCATCCTTGACCAGATCAGTTCTCTAAAAGCCATTCAGAAAAGGCTGGACTCTAAAAGTCCAGAAAACTGCCTTAATACTACCCTGTTAGAGTTTTGTGGATGGAACCTCTGAATACACTTCATGTATAGGCATGCCTATTGACACTGGAGCATCCACCAAGGACAGCAGTGGTGAAATGATGCTTGACACAGTGACCCTAGAGGATGGGAGGGGACCTGCAGGTCAGCAACAGATGGGGGTTGGTCTCTGCTGCCACGGCCTTAGTCTAACAGCTACAATGGTGCTTCTGGCCATCTGTTGCTTCTGAATCAGGACCAATGAAGGGCAGGTCGAGGTGAAACAGACGTGGCCTTCTCTTGGCTTGTACAAGTAAAACCTTCATTTTCCAATTACTCAGTTTTAAGTAATCAATAACCCCTTGAGGATAACCAACCCCCCCCCAAAAAAAAAAAACCCAAAGCCCCAAAATGAAAGTGAATATGGAATAAATTGGAGACTCTATATAATATCTAAATATTTTCACAAGATCAACCAACCTAGGAGTAACATTTCTTATTCCTGTGATGATTTCTGGGAAATATTCTTTTCTTTAATAGCAAAGAGTAAGAAACCAAAAACCACCATACCATCTAGCAGGGTGTCAAAGTGTATAACCTGCAGGTACTCCTTCTCCCGCATAAAACCTTTGAGTGGAGTGGCCCAGCCTTCACTCAAAACTTGGACCCACTGAAGATCCAGCTGCAAAACACAAAAAGCAGTTGAACATTTCCATGAGCTCTGAATGTAGCCAACTGACCCTGGGCAGGCTGTACTTATTCAGTTGACAGAAGAAAGAAGATAGAACTGTGTATGTTTTAAGAGTTCCCATTTCTTACACTGCCCCATGATCTAAGGACCCAAATGTTTCCATAGGAAAGCTTGAGTCTAGAACTTTCCTACAGGAGAGTAGTGAAGAGTTTTCAAATTGAGATGATTTATTTGAATACTATAGGCTATATCTATCCCTGTGATGTGCAACTGGGTTGAAAATTCACTGTTCATTTTTTCTATTTTCACTAAATGCACTAGTTATTTGACTGAATTAGACAAAATCATTGACTCTAAGTTAAAAAGTCCAAAATTCTTACTGAAAGCCCTTCAAATTCTGACCACTGTAGTTCAAGTAAAGATTTTGCCTCTGCCTATTCACAACTTGTGGGCTATTTAAGAACAAGGCCAGATAATATGCAACCTAAACTTACATGTGTTTTCAGACTTAACCTCCACGGCACCTGGAAATGCCTATTCATCCTTTAAAACCCACCTCACAAACCACTACTCTGAAAGCTTTCCTGCCATCTCTAGGACCAAAAGAACTACTAGGTTCTTTGAAGTTCTTTTGTACCTTGAGATCATTTTGGGGCCTCCCCTGGTGGTGCAGCGGTTGAGCGCTGGGCTGCAAAGCTGCCCTCAGCCTCTGCAGCGCCGGTTTGATCCCCGGCCACCAGCAAGGGTCCCACATGGCACGACAGACCTCTCCTGCCGTGCCTGCTGCTCCCCTCAGCAGTGTGTTTTGAGTCTGCCTGTTCTGTTCCCCGCTCTGGCTCTGGTGAATTCTCTCACCCTCCCGTGCTTCTGACTGTACCCAGTGCTTGATAAATAAATAAAGAAATCTTAAAAAAAAAAGATCATTTTGTTATTAGCACAATCATTCTGCACTGTAATTATAACTGTTTTTCTCACCTGCCTGGAGCATTGGGGATTGAGAATTTATTTTGTAGAGACATGGAATTCCATTTATAAATATCATATGTATTAAAGTCTAGAGTCTTCATAATCTGAAACAGCTTGTCAATTTACTCTGCCTCTTATAGTCCAAAGTTTTATTAAATTTATTTATTTTATTACATTGTTGTTCATTTTTGTAGAGTATTTGATTTCTCCCTTTAGTTCCCCCCCCACCACAGCACTCATGATCCATCACATAGTCCCTTGTGCTCTTCCCTCCCCTGTTTTGAGTCCTCCCCTGCTCCCTTGACATTGGCCTCAGATCTATGTTCAGCTTTCAAGTTTTGTCTTTTCCCTGACTCTTTGCTTGAGTCTCTATAGCCCACATGTAAGTGAAACCATCCGATATTTATCTTTTTCCTTCTGACTTATTTCGCTTAGCATAATAACCCCTTCTGGCTCCATCCATGTTGCTGTAAGTGGCATGAGATTATCTTTCTTGATCACTGAGGAGTATTCCATGTATACATATATATATATACACATGTATATATACACACACACACCCCCCACATCTTCTTGATCCAAAAATGTCCAAGGTTTTAATGGAAGACAAAACTGCTACCAATGAGGACACAATCCACCATATAGACAAATGAATACTGACCCATAAAAAGTCAAGAGCATGTGTAGGGCAGTTACTGGGATTGTACTTTAATATCTCTAAGATAGTAAAATGAATGCAAACAAAGCTGTTTCTCCCTCTCTCCTCAGACTGGACTCTCCCCATTGAGGGAAGAATGGGATTTTCAGAATAGACAAAGACTGAGGCATTCACAGTACTTTAGATCAGGATCGCTTTCAGTTTACTTCAAATTCCTTCTGATTTCCCAAGAAACACTTGCATTTTGAACACAAACTGTGTTCTCAGAAACTGCCAACAAGTAATTCCTGCCTGATGCCTGTTCTCTGGCATAACTGAAGATATGACAACTATGTAAAATGGTCCTATGCAAATTACCTTCCCAATCTGCCTTTGTAATGGCGTTGATCTCTTGGAGACAGATTTGCTTGGAAAAGAGGATTGAAAAGCTCGGCAAAAATGAAATATGTAATCTTGCATCTCTCTTACCCACACTTTTCTTGTTATTAAGAGCAATTGTCAATGGATTATAATGACTGATATTGAGCCTAATTTTCCCTTGGTCAGGCTGCACCCTTACCTGAGTAATTGCTAATGTAGGGAGAGTTTCAGCCTCAGCTCGAACTTGACTCAGTTTGTTTTCTGGCACAAAGAGTTCATGGATGCCCTTGATTATAGTATGGGGGACAATGCTCTGAAATGAAACAGAATGGATAATAATTTCAAGTGAAGATTCTAAAAAAAATGATTTTTTATGTAAATAGATAATTTTACATGACTGTTTTAAAAATAAAAAGACAAATGGTCTACCCACCTGTTCTTGTAAAAGTTCCACTACCTGCTGGACACAGTCATTCACTGAGGACAAGTTGGTTTTAAGCACAAGCTCTGGAGCTTCAGGTTTCTCATAATCCGAATCAATACCAGTAAATCCTGCAAGGCAGAAGAATGGAAATCACAACTGCCACTGACAGAACAAACGTTTCATCAATTTGCATAACACATGGAATAAAATCAGAGTAATGTGTTAAACTGAAGATTCAGATTATATCAATAACAGAAAAGTTATACCGATGACCTCAAGTCATAGGTAAGAAAATGTAGAGCTGAATTTTCAATATCAAAAGCCCCAAATTATCAACAAAATCTGGCAAGCTAAGGTCAAGTCCTCTGCAGCTGTTTTGACTCAAAAAAGGAAGATTTGAAAGGAAAACTCTAAAATATTCTCCCTACATGTAACACATGCACTTTATCCATTTTAGTTCTGCAAACTTTATTGCTTATGGCTGAAGTAATAGTTCTTGGAAAACACAAGCCCATATTTTAATAAGCCATGGGCATATTGATTATATTATGATTCATTAAAAAGGTGTGTATACTTATGCAATTTTGGAAAACAGATTGGAAATTGCAGAAAGATTTCTGGCGACAGACTAAGAAGGAGAAGTAGCAAAAATGACTGGCAAAGATTCCACTGAGCATGATCTCCTACCTTTGATCTCCCCAGCTCTGGCCTTTTTGTAGAGGCCTTTCACATCTCTGCTTTCACAAATGTTTAGAGGCGCATCTACAAATATTTCAAAGAATGGCAGTCCAGCCATTTCATGGATTTTGCGGGCATTCTCTCGATCCTGGAAAAAATTGTGTTAAAAACGTAACAAGAGCTTTCACCATGGAATTCTTTTTCTTTCTAGTTTTTAAAAATTAATTAACTTATTTATTTTTAACTGAGGTTACATTGGGGTATCCCCATCAGGTATTACCACCACAGTGCACCCACCACTAAGCCTCCCCTGCTTCATCATCACAGACCATTATGCCTCCCTCTCTCCCCCTTTTTTTCCCTCCTCCACCCCTCCTCCCTGGGTGTCTCAGTTCTCTAGTCAGAGATCAAGGGTTAGTTTTTCAGCTTCTCTTTCTCTGACTACTAATTTAGTTACTTTATATTCCACATATTTGTGACACCATCCAGAATTTCGTATTCCACAGCCTTGTGTTAATACTGGTGTTTGTGGTCTGCAGAGATTGCAAGAAATTAGTCCTTTAGAGCAAGTCTTTTTTTTTTTTTAAGTTTTTTTTAAATTTATTTATGCAAGAACGCTGGTACAGGCCAGATGCGTGGGAGGGTGAGAGGATTCACCAGAGATAGAGCGGGGAACAGAACAGGCAGATTGACTGAAATACACTGCTGAGGGGAGTGTGGGCTAGACAGGAGAGGTCTGCTGCACCAAGTGGGACCCTCATGGGTCAGCGGGGATCGAACCGGCGCTGCAGAGGCTGCGGGCAGCTTCACAGCGCGGCGCTCAACCACCTGCGCCACTAGGGGAGGCCCGTAGAGCAAGTCTTGAAATTTCACTCTAGTAAACAGTTCTCTTGAGAACTTTCAGAGAAAACCATGGTAAAGAATCTCTACGAAAGGACAGGGTGGCAACAGGGGAGCATCTCATTCAAAGAATATGTTCAAAACACATAGTGTCTTATTTGTAACTCTGAGAAATTTCTTGTTTTAAAAACAAGAAGAGTGACACTCCACCTTGGTGATTTCAACATTAAATACACATAACCGGATGCCTTGGCAATGTACAGCCTTTTTTTTTTTTTTTTTTTTTTTCAAGCTGAGTATCTTGAATTTAGAGAAATGACAGAACTTTGGAATTTTTCTTGTTTATCTCCTTTCAGCTCTGGCCAAGGGTAACTTCCAACTGGGAACTGGGAGGGTTTATGTCAACTGGTGTCCTGGCCTCTGGGACATTTTTTATATAAAACCAGCATTAAGTAGAGAAAATGGAGGATCAAGTGAGGGAAGGAAGAAAGGTTGGGGAAACTGAAAGTGTAACATTCCCTTGGGCCGCCGACTGCCTGACTCCTTTTCTTGGCAATTTGAAGAACAGATTCTGCGTGTAGAAATCATGCGCAATGTCGGATGATTTTACCTTGGAGAAAGGAGAAATGAAGCTGGTGATGCAGACCAGACCAGCATCGGCAAACAGCTTGGCCACCTCGGCAATCCGGCGGATATTTTCTTCTCTGTCACCAGGAGAGAATCCGAGGTTCTTGTTAAGGCCATGACGGACATTGTCCCCATCAAGGGAGTAGCAAGGGATGGCATGGGAGACCAGGTATTCTTCCAGAGCAAAACTTACTGTTGTCTTTCCAGCACCAGAAAGACCTGTTCAAAATAGGCAAGACAAGGCAGGCATTGTCCCTGATTGTTTAAGATGGTAAATTATGACTTGATCCTAATTTTTACCTAATTTAAGTATAATCTCAAATCAAAACCATGAGAATCTGGAAAAGGCATAGTTTACTACCAGATAAACTACTTGCATTTCTTTCAAGTCTCAAAATAACAATTTGTTCCTTATTAGGATTATAGCCTTTCAAAGCAATTGGGGTTCATATATGGGAGTGTCTGGAAGCTAGATACAGTACTTGGTGCGTTCAATCTTACATACCCAAGTGTTTTGAAGATTAGAAAGTTGTACACACAAGGCCAGATTCTGTCTTCACTTGAAAAACATCGGGAGATCTGGCGACAGTATTCTCACATCCCTCATGACAGCTGGAGTGGAGGGGACCACTACCCCTTGGGGATCAGGAGGCCCAACTCTCAGTTTGATGTAGCTCAAGAGCCATCTAATCACAGAGCCCACACACTGTCTTCATGCTTCTAAGATTTTTTCAAAGTGACCCTCAACATATTAAGATGGAGAGCCCTCCTGAACAAGGCATGGATGTGTAGGCATATCTCATTTTATCTCACTTGGCTTCACTGTGCTTTGCAGATACTGGGTTGTTTTGTTTTTTTAAGTTACAGATTGAAGGTCTATCAGTTCCATTTTTCCAAAAGCATGTGCTCACTTCATGATTTGCCAGTCATATTTAATTAAGGTGTGCACGTTGTTTTCTTTAGGCATAATACTATTGCACACTTTTTTTTTTTAAAGATTTATTTATTTATGCATACAGGGGTACAGGCCAGAAGTGCAGGGGGTGAGAGGATTCACCAGAGACAGAGTGGGGAACAGAATAGGCAAACTGAGTGAAATACACTGCTGAGGGGAAGCACTGGGCAAGACAGGAGAGGTCTGCTGCTCCATGTGGGTGGCTCCCAGGCCAGCTGGGGATCGAACTCGTGCTGCAAGGGCTGTGGATAACGTCACAGTGTTGTGCTTAACCCCTTGCGCCACCAGGGAGGCACATATTGCATGCTTAAGAGACTACACACAAGTTCCATATGCAGCAGGAAACCAAAAAATTCACATAACTTGCTTTGCTTTAATACTTGCTTTATCATGTTGGTGTGGAACACAACCCCTAAGATCTCTGAGGTATGCCTGTATTTAGAGACACCATAAATGCTTAGGTGTTTAGAGTCTTTATAAGGAGTTACTTTGTGTCTTCAAAACACAATGACTGGGAATACACTTTATAATTTCTATATAGGGGGGAAAGCAACATGCTTAAATTACTTAAGAGCCTAAAATCTGAACTGCCCCAGAAAAGTTAGCACTCTACAAATTCTGTTGTTCTAAAGAACACTGAGCCTGGAGAATATTCCATCATAGCAAGCCACTCTCAGACCCCATCTGGGGAAGGGACGTGGTGGTGGACGAGGAAAAGTTAGAGAGGAAAGGAGAGTTTGAAAGGAAGGTGATACGTAAAAGGTAAACAAATATTTTTCATATTTTTAGTAATGTTTTAAAATTGTGCTCTTCTAATGACAGAGAAGAAATGGTTGCCTGAAGAAGGTGTTGATGATCATTGTAAATCATTGTTGAAGACATTGTTTATTATATTATTACTTCATTCAATTTCCTTTGGATAAAGACTTAGGTAGAAATTCCTAAGTCAGGTAGAAATTAGAAATTCCTAAGTTAGGTAGAAATTCCTAAATCAGACATAGATTTATGTTTGATGGGTATAGGAGAAATGGGATTCCTGAGTGTGTGGTGTGTTCTCTCTCATCGAAAAATGAGAGAAATAACAAAAATTCCTTTTGATTTTGTTTCAGCTCTCAGGGACATAGGCACTAAATCGTAGTAACTGTATTAAACCAGACTGTTGGCATAATTATTTTAAGACATTGGAATAACCAAATTATGTTAAGCAAGTGCTCTACAATGGGTCAGGTACTGTGTGAAGTACATATTTACTATATTTCGTTTAGTTCTAGCTATACCTCTATGTGTTCAGACACTCTTATTCTCATTTACAAATAAGGAAACTGAGGCTTAGCGAGGTTAATTAGCTTGTCCAAAGTGACACAGTTAATGTAGGTGGAGCTGAGGCTCAAGTCCAAGTGTCTGGATTTGAAGTAGTTGATTCCCTCTAGTCTACCTGGTCAATATTCTACCTCTGTTATATGAGAATAAAAAAATAAAGTAAGAGGGGGTGATCTTTTAGGAGTAAGAAAGGGGACATATTCACTTAGATTTTTTTCCTCTTTGACCAGAGGAAAAATGTATGTTCCACATGCATGTTCCACATTAGGAAAAAAAAGGACTCTGTGTATACGTCCCAATTCAAAAGCCCTGCAAACACTTAAAGCCCAATGTCTCATCAAGGCAAACACATAACAAGAGAGAGAGTTCTGGAGTATGTTGTACTTTATGTAATGCTACTCTTCACCTCAAGGGAGTGGGGGGAGACATTTCAGGAACCATGCCACATGGGCACTGCTGTCGGGATATGGCACTGTCTGTCCTCACACTGGAAACTGCAAGAAATTGAATCCATTGAATGAAATAAAAAAATGGAAGTATCACAGAAACTAGGGGAAAAGTTGAAAAAGAGAATGAGACTGATTTAGCCAGAGACAGGAAAGACTCAGAATAGCAAGAAAAGATATAAGGCAGGTCCCTGCCTTCAAATTTCTTAGAATTTCATCAGGTTAGAATAAATCAGCATTTAGGAGCAGATGGTCATATATAGGTTGATTTCATAATCTGGGTAAACATATCTTTGCATCTCTATTTGAGACTAACATAGCTATAAAATAAACTGGGTTTTTTCTTTTTAAAGATGTGTTTATTTATGCATACAAGAACTGGGGTACAGGCCAGAGGTGTGGGGGGTGAGAGGATTCACCAGAGATGTGCCAGAGGATTCACCAGAGACAGAGCGGGGAACAGAACAGGCAGACTGACTGAAATACACTGCTGAGGGGAGCACTGGGCAAGACGGCAGAGGTCTGCTGCACATGTGGGTAGCTCCCTGGCTATCCGGGGATCGAACTCATGCCCTGCTGCAATGGCTGTAGATTGCTTCACAGTGCTGTGTTTAACCCCATGAACCACCAGGGAGGCCCATAAACTGGGTTTTTTCTTTTGAGTCCTGGTTATGTCAGAATATAGTCTTCAATTTCCTCTACTAATGCTCAGAGTATAAGGTAGTGGCTCAGTACTAATTCCAGTTCTGTCACTCAACCTTAGCATTGATATTCTTTCTTTCTTTCTTTCTTTCTTTCTTTCTTTCTTTCTTTCTTTCTTTCTTTCTTTCTTTCTTTCTTTCTTTTTCTTTCTTTCTTTCTTTCTTTCTTTTCTTTCTTTCTTTCTTTCTTTTCCTTCCTTTCCTTCCTTCCTTCTTCCTTCCTTCCTTTTCCTTCCTTCCCTTCCTTCCTTCTTCCTTCCTTCCTTCCTTCTTCCTTCCTTCCTTCCTTCCTTCCTCCTTCCTTCCTTCCTTCCTTCCTTCCTTCCTTCCCTTCTTCCTTCCTCCCTCCCTCTCTCTCTCTCTCTCTCTTTCTTTCTTCTTTCTTTCTTTCTTTTTCATTTAACTAGGACAAGTTTATTAGGAAAAAGAGAGGCACCTGCATTGTCACAGGTGGGCAGGAGAGCTACCAGCTTTGACATTCTGTGGTCATAAAAATACAAGAAAAGGGAGATCATTTGGTGACCTCATGGGGGGTGGGTTATTTTAATAAACGTGTGGCAATCCTCAGCAAAACAGAAATCACTAGTTTTCCTTCTTGCACAGATTTTAATGCCTTTTTAAACTAAGTGAAAGTCTCTTAGTATGTTAAGTGAGAAAACAACAAAGAAGATCTCTAAATATCTCCAAATATAAATATTTATGGACAGCTATACCTTGATGTCAAATTTGAGATGCCCCATTCATACCTGACAGCAAGTGTGTTTAGGCACAAAATCCAGAGCTATAGAATTCCTGAACTGAAAGGGACTATCATAATTGACTCATCCCATCCTTTCTGGTCAAAGAGGAGAAAATCAACAACTAGAAAAATTCTGTGACTTAAAGTCCTATTTCCCACTGATGGTAGAATTAGGTCTAATATTCAGGCTTTCAGCTACAACTCTCAGTCTCCTCCTAATGTTAAACTAAACACACACACACAAAATAGATACACAATGTGCGAAACAAGTTAATTCCCTTAAACTGAGAGTCATATCAACATGGCATACCTGTCAACCACACAGTGCATCCTCGGAACCCTCCCCTTGTTCCAACCACCTGTCCTCTCTTGTTCCTGCTCACGTGGTGGGCTTGATAGACGACATTGGTGGCCTTTTGCTGATTTTCCTACAAAACAAGACCAAGCACAACATTTGATTAATTCAATGTGAAGCATAATATAAATATACTAAGGTAACATTACAGTCATTGCCTTCCCAAACAGAAATTTTTTTCTAATTGGCTACAGTTACATTTATTAATTCTCCTTTTTATTGTTGCAGCAGAGTTTCTGTCAGGAAACCACCCTGCACTCAGAGAGGGGGAGGGAAGTTCTTTATGCTGGTGGGCTCAAAGGAGATCCTTCTGCAATGTCTGAGCCCTGAACAACTAAGTTTCAGGGTATTTATTGACTTAAAGCAAGGGGTACAAGCAGCTGGGAGAACATGTATCAGGCATGTGGCCTTGACAGAGGTAACAGCCATTCCCTGAAACTTTTCTTTTACATGTTCTGTCCTAACTTCAGCTGGTCAGGCTAACATTTCCCACTTCAATTTACAAACAGACATTACCTTTTTAAAAAAAAAGGTTTATTATGTTTTTTTAAATTTATGCATACAAGAACTGGGGTATAGGCCAGAGGTGTGGGGATAAAAAGATTCACCAGAGATAGAGTGGGGAGCAGACCAGGTGAATCTACCAAAGTACACTGCTGAGAGAAGTGGGGCAAAAACATTAGAGGTCTGCTGTGCCATGTGGGTTAGCTCCCTGGCCAGGGATGGAACTCAAGCCTCAGTGGCTGGTGATGACTTGATAGTGCTGAGACTTAACCCCTGCGCCACCATGGAGGCCCACACAGACATTGCTTTCAGAATACCTATCATGAGCTTTTGAAAGTATAATTTGAATGAGGTCATTTTTGATACAATGTAGAAGTTCTGGTTCTATGATATTTTAGAATGTGAACCTTTTGGAAAAGGTGAGGGGAATTGTTTGTTTCTGTAAAAGCATGTTCTCCTCAAAGTCCTATGGGCATGAATTTAAGCTAATCCAGAAGCTCCAGCTGCTGAGGAAATATTAGTGTGAGGCTGCTTGAGCCTCTCTTACTGAAGAGCCAGGGAGAAATCCCTGTCACAGAATGAAGGCTTAAAGGCCTCTCACTCCCACCCAGACATCAGGGTCTTTCGAAAAGTCCTGCAGAAATGGAAATACACCTGTTAGTCTTGGAGACTAATTCAAATCTCACGTCTTTACTTTGACTGTGATAAAATCAGTTCAGGGAGGTACAGATAATCTGACCCTAAATTTATCAGAAGATACATGTGTGATGAATAAAAAAGGTAAAATGAGCCAATAAATACAGTTTTTGGTGGATATTTTTTAAAATAATGTGTGGGGCCTCCCTGGTGGCGCAGGCGGTTGAGCGCAGCGCTGTGAGCTGTCCGCATCCTCTGCAGTGCCGGTTCGATCCCCACTGGCTTCGGAGCAACCCACATGGTGAGCAGACCTCTCCTGTCTCACCTGCTGCTCCCCTCAGCAGTGTATTTCATCAGTCTGCCTGTTCTGTTCCCCGCTCTGTCTCTGGTGAGTCCTCTCACCCTCCCATGCCTCTGGCCTGTACCCTAGTTCTTGTATAAATAAAATAAATCTTTAAAAATAAAATAAAATAAAATAAAATAATGTGTGACCCAACAAGGGTGGTGCAGGAAGAACCCATAAAAGTAGTTAAATTAAAAGGCGGGGAGTTACCCATATATGTCTTTGGTGTGGTAACTGAATTTCTAACAACAGATGTAATCCAAGTTGCTGAACTATAAAAAAAAAATCTGTGGAGTCTTAAGTACCACACATGCACACCCACCAGAGCTAAGAAAGCATCAATATTCATTGAGCAAGACCAGGAAGTCTTAGAGAACTCTGTGCCACGTGAGGGTAACTGATATATTCTGGAGCAGATTAAATCACTTCTTTATGCCTCCTCCTTTGAGGATAAAAATAACAAAGGTTTTTTTGGAAGCTCATATGAAAAATAGATGTGAATGTGCTCTGTGAATGTTAAGTTTATACTTTCAACAGGAAAGGCTGGAGCTTAATGGGTTAGGATCAGGACAATGGTTTCAGATCAAGGAGCCCAGTGTTGGCCCTTGGGGACTCAGAACAGCAGCACGCACATTTGGTGGTAGCCTGCCTGCTAGGAAGGCATAGAGCTGGTGAAGGGCCCCCCATCAGGCAGGGATTGGCATTAGCAGAGAACAAGGAAGAAAGTATTGAAAGCTGGGACCAGCTTTGTCAATTACCTAAAACCCTCCAAAGTTAGAGGCAAAGCTCAAGAGAACCCAATGCTAGGGAGGATCTGAATATAGAGGCAGAACAAGGCACACTAGACAGTAATGGCTGGCATCATCCCCATAAATGGGGACCAATAAGTCTAGTCTGAGAGACATTCTAGCTATCTTTTCACTAAGTGAACAAACCCCCTGATGTTATCCTGAGTCTCTTGAGTCAAGTGTACTGTACTACTCAAAGATAACATTAAGAATTTTTGTCTTCTATTTCCTTGTTAATCACTGCCATAAAATTCAAGAACACTGTGTCTGGATATCAGTTCTTCAGTTCATTCACTGACTCATTCCCTCAATGTTCATGTAAATGAGCTATGTTCCAAGGACCATTCCAGGTACTGAGAATCTAGTATTAAACTAAACAGAATCTCTGGCATCTCTTGGGGGAGTGGGAGATAAAGAAAAAAAGATCAAGAAACTGGGATCCCACTCTCCAAAGGAGGGCGAGATCCATATATATATATATATCTGTATCTTATATGAAGATATATAAATAACACCACCGAGTCAATAATAGAAGACCACCCAACATTTAAAAATGGTCAACATGTTTGAAGAGTCACTTCACAGAGGTAAATACACAGTGACAAGAAAGCATTTGAGGAAGTGTTCAAGGACATTAGTAATGACAGAAATGCAAAATAAAACCAAAAGGAGATGCTACTGATAACATTCAATGATATCAAGGTCTGCATTCACATGATAACAGTGAAAGTATAAAGTGGTCCAACCATTCTAGAAAAAAACCTGGCAGTTTCTTATCAAACTAAACATATACCTCCCCTATGACTCAGCAATCCAATTCATACACATTTAGTCAAGAGAAATGAATACAATTATCTATAAAAATACTTGTATAAAAATATTCCTAGCAACTTTGGACAAAACTGAAAATAACCAAGTGTCCCGCAATAGAAAAATAGATAACAAAAACCCCACATAAATAGAAAAAAAATCTACACAGAAACTCAAACTGGGAACTGATTATATAATGGAATACTATTCAGCAAGAAAAAGGACACATGTAACATTGTTGATAATAAATGAAGGCATTATGCTGAGTCAGAAGGCTTTTTTTTCACAAAAAGCCACATATGATTCCATTTATATTAAGACCCCAAACAGGGAAAACTAATTTACTAAGACAGTTGCCCCTGGGTGATGGTCATACTGTATGTTTTGACAGGGGTTTGAGTACACATCTGTTTGCATTTGTTAGAACTCACTGACTGTATATTGTAGATGAGTATTTCATTATATGTAAATTCTACCACAGGCAAAAAAAAAATTGTCTTTAAAGCAAGCATGCAAGAAAATACATATTAAGATTCAGATGGTGAAATATATTGTTCAACACCGGTGCATTTATGCACAAGAGACTGATCTTAGTCAAAGCATATTCGACTTGCCACTGTCCATCTGTGTGCATGAATGCCCACAAGAGCTTAATTTGTCCACAAGAGGTTTATTTTCTCTCTTTTGGCTGTTTCTTTTCCCTTCAGGCAGAGGTCCAGAATAAACTCCAGACTTTGTGAGTGTTCTGTGGAAGCTTTGCTATGATCTTGTTAATTGCCTCCCCAATAAATGCTTGGTTTTCAAAACCAGTTCAGAACCCAGCGGAAGGAACTACTCTACTATAGTATTTAATAGTTGATCTCTGAAATTTGGTTTTTATTACCTTTATCTTAATCATGGGTGTTTTTATAGATTTTCTATCACTTCAACAACATTTAAACAAATAAAAAAATCGTTTCAGATCACCAGGTACAGGGATTTTTTGGTTCAGGAAGAAATTTTGCTTCTTATTTATCTCAAATTTGCCTTTTATTTTCTCCAAAACACTAACAGATAAAATAGAAGCAGATGTTTTGAACTGCAAAAGGGGAGGGGCAGCCAAAAACATTTTGCTGCTGAAATCTCCATTCCCTTCGAAAGAGCATGTGGTGTTCTAAGCTTTGGAAAGAATGTGGCTGTCAGAAAGAGGATTCTTTCTATGGAAAACAAATCACATGCTAAGGAAAAAATGCCTGCCTCCCCATGTGTAGAAACAGCACACAGACATCCTTGGTACCTGGTCTGATGCTGTCACTTTGCAGGAAGTGGCCCAGAAACCACAAAATTGGTGCATACTTCTTTCTATTCTGGATTTCTAAGGAAAAAATTACAAAGGTCTCTGGTCCAGAAACACTCCTTCCACCATGCACAGGAATCACATGATTTTGGGTTTTGGAGTCTAGAAAACCTGGGTTTAAAATCTGCTTCATAGCCTGCTTGCTCCGTGACTCTGGGCAAATTATTAACATTTGAACCTCCATCTCTTGCTCCAGAAAATGGGCCTAAAATAGTTTCCTCACAAGCTTGCTGAAAGGATTGAGTAAAATGATTTTCTATATAAAATATAGATGAAAAAACTATAGACATATGACAAGATGTTGAATCTGATGAGGCCCACGCAGCATTTAATCTAATCTGGAGAAATCATGGTCGTGTGAGAAATGTAAATCACCCAGATTTAGAAGTGTTCTGGGGATTTGGATCCACTCAAAGGCAAATCTGGAGAGGGAAGAGGGGACTCGAGGTCAAATCAGATAATGGAAAAAGTAGCACTTGATAGGGGTGAAGAGTCACATGCACAATATTGCTGTTGCTTCCATTACCATTATCTTTGACCTCGGGGCCAGCCAATGAGAATGTTCTCTAGACTGTGCTGGCTCTCACCCAGGAATCCTTAGTTAACAGTTCAGGGATGCCCTTCGCCCCAGGTCAGCCTCCTGAACTCAGATTCCA